AGAGATTTTGAGGTCAAAGCCAAGCAATTTTAATTCGTCATCCAAACTGTCATGCAATATTTCATAAACTGTTTATTCAGTATCATTAAAGCTAAAAGCAAATTAAAAAGTGTGCAAAACCTGTTCTGTTATATAGAGTAAATCTCTCTCGCGCGCCATTATTCTAATATATTTTTGTTTACTCCCCTTGAATGCAAAACAACATCACAAAATCCAAACAAAACGTCAAAAAAGACTGAAAACGGAAAAGCCAAGTATTCTAGTAATTCAAAGAATTTATATTTTGACATAGAATATTGTCAAGTTATGATAGGAGCTTGGAAACATTGTACTTTATGAGCTGACGAGAAATTGAAATTCACGATCAGTCGACCAACTCTCGGAYGCAATAATGACAAGTTTTTTTGTGCGTTTAATGTAAAATCTGCAGGTTAAAAGAACGTAGAAAATACTAAAACAGTATCTAAGAATATACACAAAATAGTCCAGACTGAATTGGTCAAAATAAGCTGAATGGTTTGCTTCGTAACAAATTCCCTTTATTTTTTCCTGTTTTTCTCTATATTATGGAAGTTTTTTAATCTTTCTTAGAGAGTACAAATCAAAACGTTTATTACTATGATTATAAAGCACATAATTTCGCAACAAAATTCACAAAAAGTGTGGGATATTTTCAGTTCAGTTTCTAAACTGAGGGATTTATACTCTAAGCCCTTCTCCGCCTCTGAAGTAACGTAATCCTAACGACGAACGCATAAAATTCAAAATAAAAGCTTTGGAGAGAGAAGAAAATACAAGTGTAGRTTTTTGAGGCTTGGACTTTGGTTTTGCGCATAAAAATTTGAGAAACAGATGCCTCTTGGCAAACAAGTCGTTAGTGAGAATTGGATGGAAGCGAAAGGCCTGTTAATGACAGTTAGAAGCTCGATATAAATGACTTTACACGTTTTGTAGATCACTGATTTATAAAGTTGATAAATCATTTTTGAGGATTTTGGGACTCGAAATCGCACGAAATATTACGAAATGAAAGAAATCATGACCGAAAACGCCCACAAAATCAATGAAGCGACAAAATCACTTTCTGAGAGAAATTATTTTTGATAACCAAGCTGTGACAAAATAATGGAGAAATCTTCGTTATCATTAAATGACATAAAAGATCGTTTCTCTTATTGGACTAGCTATTATAATACAGCCCAAGGGAAGGGTTTATTGGGCCAGTGTGTATTCTAGTGATTAAAGATAGATTATCTGGCTATATTTGATTGATTTGGAGCAGGTTGTGATCTCACAKGGACTTCCCACTGTGTWACAACGAGTATTCTTTCAAAACAACGACTCAAAATGTACTAAATTAGCCTTTGTCTGTTATTCTGAATGTACTGAATACAAAAAAKCTMTTTAAAACGACTGAAAAACGCCGTTTTGCTCTCAAATGGTCCACAAAGAAGCTAAAGAAAGCTGACTTGAATTGATGAAAATAAGATTTCAAGGTAAATATTCATTTTACATTGGCTAAAAATCTTTTCAAAAGATATAAGTAGAAAAATAGTTCTGTTGTGAACATTGCTTCAATTGTAGTACGGCACAATGTAAGAATAACTTAAAAAACGCTTTAATATATTTGAAACTATCTATTCTGTTCGCCTCCCTTCGCGCTGAACCAGACTAAACCTGCATGTGTTCACAACTACCTGTTTGACGGATAGTTTACTACTTGTACAAATCTAGAACTATATAAAATACTAGACACACAAACCTGACCCCCAATAAAAGAGGCTTGCTATTNTTTATTTTGTTTAATATTTCAGTTGTATTTTAAAGATTTTTATTCCTCAAAAACCAAGTATAAAACGTTTTCAAAGTGTTATAGTTTTATCTGAGATTATTATTTTTAAATGTGTTTAATCTTTGATAATGTGATTTTCGCGGTACTTGCTAGTCAGTACGCCAGTGAACGCTCTAGAGAACTTAAAARAGAAAATACGCAAAAAAACGTAGATACTCACGACAAGTTCACGTTTTTGTTGCGTTTTTTCGTCCACAAAGACAGAAAATTTCAAAAGCGCAAGAAGATCGCGCAATTCTCGTGCATTTTCGTACCATATTTGTAACGCTTTTCGTCCGCAAGTGAAAATTGAGGAACGACATGCAAACGCAACAAAAACGCGGAAGTAAACGCAAGCAGTGCGTTATAGTAACGTATCCGTCCACAAGGAAATGGTATAGAGAAACAGTATAAACATACGTAACAGAAACGTAAGTTTCCTGTTCAGTGCGTTTTTGTATGATTACGTACGTTATGTATTTCCAGAGAGTTTCACATGCTGCGTAAAATTCATGGAACCTATTCCGTCCACAATGATAGCGTAAACGTTACGTAGAATAAAGCGCAGTATGGACGAGACGGCTTTCATGGTACAAGGCGTAATTTTGTACAGTAACCTTCAGAAATTCTATTGTTTACGTAAAATGTTTTGACGTTAAGGCGGTCAGTAGTGGTTACGCCCGATACACATGTGGTCTTCTCATTGTCTATTAACAAAAGCCTCCCCAACCTGATATAATGTTGGACTTTTGTCTATTTTCCTCATTATCTGCCATCTCAATAACACAACGCAGAATAAAACAAGAATTAATTATAAACACAATAGCGTAAGGAGTGGAAGTAAGTCGATTTAAATAGTAGCTTATAGCCTCGGAGTGTTGAGCGAATCAGAAAAGGGCTGTGTTTTTCGCACCAGTATGTCAAATTAACACCTCAGACTAGTTTTAGTTTGTACAATRTGTGGAAAAAGCTGTGTTATTATTACTAACTGGCTYGCTGGGAACTTAGACCATTAGCAAGGGAAGACCTATTAAGGTAATTTGTCTTGGTATATTTCTAAATTACTACTAGATTGACCTCAATATCAAAAACAACCCAAATAGTAAGCATGACAGGTTAAAACTGAAATTACTCGTGATCATTATTGATAGTGATCTAGATATATTATATTAGAAGTGCTTTTTGTAAAGGATAGATCGTTATCGAGATTGAATTCAATTTCTTTTGAATCTTAGAGTCATGATTGATAACTAAATGTAGGTAACACAGTTTAGCATAGAATGTCCTTTGCGCGCGAAAACACATCTGAAAAAACCCTCCCAAAACCCTCAAGTTGCTCCATAAACACAACTTTAAAATGAGCTTTGTCTTCGTGAAAATAAGCGAACTGAATACGTGTAAGGTTTAATCCTTTTAAATTGTTCTTATTGCTTATTTCACTCACTAGAGCTGCCATAGGAGTATAGGCTTAAAAAATTGCGCACGCCTAAAATTCGTGTTCTATCGACCTTCTGTACTTTTTTTGAAGAAAACCTGACCTGTTATTCTAGTTCTCTTCATAGTTTAGTCTTTTGAGGTGGCTTATTTCGCACAAAAATGATGTTTTGATAAACATTTTCGAAAAACAGCTTCATTATATCAGAACAAACGGAACTCACACACATCCCCATACAATTCAACGACAATAAAAACTACATTCATACGGCATACGGCAATATTTTTTTAACTCTAATTACAATACCAGTTCTTGCCAAAAAGTCGCCATTGCAAAATTGGAAATTAAACTTTGTCAAATTAGTTTTTAATAAAGATTCACAGCTAACCCACCCAACTCTGGAACGACAGTTAAGAGCTGAACTAGAAGTAATAAAAGGATATTTTTAGTTCTGGTTCTATCAAAACAAGTTTTTCCCATTTATGAAAGAGTTTACTTTCAACCCGATATTTATCATATTTTTGAACTGATAAAATTATTCTTATTTACTAAAAAGAACTGCGAAAAATGGCGTTAAAATGGTGTGAGATTCGTTGTGCTAAAAACAGACACTCCACAATGAAAACTAGTTCCAGTTCGACAACTGTCGCCGAATTCGAAGGAAATTGAACGATATACAAATTGTCATTTTGTCACAAATTTACTAAACTAAATTTTGCCATGACAACCTTTTAAAGGTAGATGTATATAAATTAACAAGTTAGCTAGTAATTTAGTAACCTGGGTATAATATTCGGTTTACTAACTAGCAACAAGAAACGTTTACCTTACGGAATCGAGAGTGAAATAGTCGAACGCGCGCACGGTACAACAACTGCGCTTATGTCTAAACTAATATTGAAATAATTCTCGATCTTTTTGGTAAACAACCTTTTAAGATAAGTATACCCTATAAGATCTCTACGTTTGCACAGCTCTATACGTTGTCAGGTTGCACGCTTTTTCTTTGAATTCTAAAAGCCCAATCACTGGYATTTAACTACGACAGAGATTGTAGTCGAGCTGCTGGATAGACCGATATCGAGGAGTGTCAATATTCTTTGCAATCTTTAGAGACAATTTGTCTGCATTTACCACTTTTCTCTTCAGAGTTTTTATGTGCTATAGAGCTCTGAAAATATTGTCTTTTTCGAGGCCAAAAAAAGAGTTTACTAGATTATTAGTCTTCCTCAGCTCTTTGTGATTACTAATACACATCAATTATAATGCGGATTTATCGTTCTTGTTTCTTTCGAAACTAGAAAAAACTCCAGTGCACGACTATAAATATATACGATTTGAGCTTGAAGAAGCTCAGTTTGGATATCAATGAAAAAATTATATTTTCCTCAAAAGAGGTTTGTAAAGTTTACTTTTCTTAAATTATGTTTCCGACCTAATTTGCTCGTTGCGTTTGTTTACTTTGCAAGCGTTGCTTTATTGAAAGAAAACTAAGTTCAATATTTACTGAATGGAAAATAATGACTTGTGTTGACAATGAAAAGTTAAATTAAAAAAGTAATTGAAAATATGAACAACGAAAAAAACAGAAAATTCAGGGTACGATTTCTTTTTGAATGTTTTATCCATAAATAAATGTTTAGGCCAACCAATAACCATGTATAAAAAAACACTGTAACCATCCTTTGTTAAGTTCTATCAAGGTTTCTCAGTGCACAGCCCCGTATTCTTGCTGTTTATATCTTTCTCTTTGCATTATGATTATAAACATGTATAAAGTTTTGGCATTGTATCATAAACCGAAGCATGAAGCAGGAATTACGAGTAATATTGTGAGTAATACTGAACATTAAGATTCGCCCAAATTCTAAAAGGAATTTTGACCAAATGTAGCATTATAAAATGGCCAAAAGAGCCAGTTGTCTGAACCATACCAACCATACTATAGGAGGACGGATACCATTTCACTGCTGATAAAGCCAATAAAGTGTTCCCGATCGATTGTTCGGCAGATGTTATTACGGTTCAGTTAGGGTTAGGGTTAGGGATCGATTGTTCGGCAGATGTTATTACGGTTCAGGAATACTATTCAAATGTCACTGTTCAAACAATGGCTTTAAAAAATTCAGTTTTTTTGTTTGCAAAAACTCGATCAGCTGCTAATCTCCCTACATCCATGTATCAACAAACTCTGTATCATCCMAAAAGCTAATAAAAAGTCATCGCAAAGCAAAAGGTATGGAATTTTGAAGTTGGATTTTTTAGCATCTAAATGGTATCCCACTCGGGTCAAGAATTCATTAAAGGGAAAGTTGTACATTGTTTTGTGCCTCTGGCTGTCATCGATAGACTCGTATATCAATCACAGGGGCTATTTTAGWAATACATTTACATCAACGATGTARTAATCACCCAACTGAACAYAGAAAAGACTCAGCGCTYATACCTCCCACAAAAAGCCAGTCAAATGTCTRCTAAAACATTCGATTGCAGCGGAAAACCATTCAAATGCTCTCTAAAAAGACTGTGGGATGATCGGAATGGAGCTAATTGTGTTTTTGCAGGCTGAATGAATTTGTGGCAATCTCTTCAATATTTATCCAGGTTATCCTAGTAATTCTAGCAGCTTTTTATTGCATACCAACAGCAAATCTACTTGAACAAATTTCTAATTTTGTACATTCGAGTGAGCGTGAGATTTCTCGCTCAAGTGTTGAGTATTTGACGTGATTTTCTCAAGTGATTTTGTCGTCTTTTCAACAGTTCAAGAGATCTCACCACAGCATCATTAAGGACAAGACATGCCACARCATTGACCACGAAATCAAGGTAAAMKWAAACATCATGATTTCTTTATTTTATACTGAATATGAAGWCAAAAAGGTGGTTGTTCGAGCGACTGTTATTTCATTTTCAATGTACGTTTGTATTTGATGATATGATAGAGCATTCAAACGCGCGACCTTTTGATCAATTAAAGCAACATCTCTTTGCAGGAATTTTCTCGACTTTATTCCCTTGATTAGCCTCTTTTACAACGTTATTAGTTTGAATACATAACATGATTTTTTTCTTTTCTTTACTCATTAATTCAGTGCTTTGTGAGTAATGAACAATAGTTCAATGAATTATGAATGACTAAAAGCCAAGCGGAATGATAGTCTGGAAGGTAAATTAGAAGGGGTATTAGCTCTCAATGTAGTGGGATTGATTGGCCTTTTTGGGGGCGTTGAGATCACCTTTGAAAGAAAACATCTGCAAAATGTATTCAGTGTTTTTAGTTGGAGTGTGAAAACGTTAATTGCAGAATATCTGAGCATTTCAAAAAAGGTTGTCAGAAGAAATGGCGATTGGAGCGATTACACGAGTGAAAGGAGCCAACGGTTTTCTGTTTTTCTGTTGTTTTTTTTTTAACTCAGGGACAGACATAACGACAAATAATGAATTGAATTRCTTCTTCATAACTAATGGTCGTTGATAGGTCATATAATGGGACAAAAACTGTTTTATTCTACATCGAAAATTGTACCGTTTTATTCAAAAACTGAAGATCTAAAAGTATAAAGATTATCAATTCTTTAGTAAAAATTATTCTTTTCTTGAATTCTTTGATGACAACACATCAAAACATCTCAAAAATGACTCGTGTGTGGCAAGAGATAAAATACGCGTAAGCACAAGCTCTACTGGATAGCAATTTCGTATTCGCTTTTTGTTATATCATTGTACTAAGTTAGAATAGCTCACAACAGGTATTGGCCATTGACCAACTTCACGTTGGTGAGCTAAAGTGCTTAATATTTTGATGTTCTTGAAAAAATGCACAAAAATGTCCAGATAAACTGGTTTTATTAGGGAAAGAAATGGGTAAGTCCTAAAACCGGTTTAACAGGCTTATTCTCATTCTGTCAGTAATTTTTCGGTTTCTGACCGCCTATTTGTAAGGTTCGATTGAGTTTAAGCCTCATGTATATTATTAATTTGCTTTATTCTTTGAATATGTGGTTACTTATCTCATTAACTTTGCACAAAAGAGTTCTTTTGTTGTACAAATTTAGTAAATTTAGAGATTAGCTTAACGTAGTTATAATGAGAAATGAGCTCGCCAACTAATCGCGGTTATGTAGAGATAATTCCTCGTGCTTTACTGCATGCTAAGAGCGGTGTCGCCGYGTTTCTTGTCCTCGGGTTTAGTTTCTTCTAAGTATAATTGTCGCCGTCTCAGATCGCATATTTTCATTGTTTTCTTTGAAGAATTGAAAACAACGCAATCGTGATTGAAGAGATTAAATGAAAACCAGTCTTAATGATAAGATGACAAGTCTGAGAGGTTTTCACAAGCATAGGCACAAACGCCAAGTGCCGAGGAAAACAAAAACAACATGCTATGTTTAGGACATTTGGAGACAAAAATCCAGATATTTTTCTTTGCTGGTTTGCTTGTATTTCTTTATTATGTTTATCATGATAAGTCTTTTGCTTGTGCTTACGATTATGTCAATGTATTATGCCATACAAGTTCCTTCCTTTGCATTAAATTTTGTCTTCTGCTTCTGCTTGYGTCGTAGTGACAYAAGGACCAAACTTTGAAAGCAGCTCTTCTKCAACCATGTTCCTTRTTCTCGGWGCGCAAGTTATATCACGAGAATTCAGAATAGTCTCGAAAGATTCAAATCGCTTYTSATATTTRATAAMWGTCAACGCGTCATCGATACACCWATTCAAAGTGAACGTTATCAACGCYAAKGGCATCATGAATMGACTGCGCTGAAGCGAYATCATATGAAGACATGATGATGATAGTGATGAATAAAAGATCATCATCAAATAAGGAGCAGTCCGATGATGATAGTACCGAATAAAAGATAATTATGCAGGGAACAGTTTTAAGATTACAATGATGAATAAAAAATCATCATCATAGTCTAAATGATATTACAATGATGATGTCATCTAGTCTAACTTCATCGTATTGTTTTCCTCAGGTGTTTTCCCGTCAAGATGCCGTTCATGAAGGTCAACCTGAATGGCCGAAAGTACGTCATATCAGGCCTTACAGAACAAACATCAAGTAAAAACATTCTGTACTCATTAGCACGTGCCGATTCAACGTTCCATCTTGAAACCACATGCACAGAATTCAGCGACACATCCATGGAAAACGACGATAGGACTAAAGGRACTCGCATCAAAAGAACTCGCCGGACTCGAGTTCGACGCAGCTCGACGTCATCAGTAGAAATAGTGAAGTTTGATAAAGATTGTTTGAAAGGAGCCTTGAAGAACAAAGAAATTTTGATAGACTTGGAAAGCTCGGAATGGAGTGAGGGACAAGGGAGTTTGAAGCACCAACAGAAATCTTTACTGAATCTTACTAAAATCAATGACAAAACTTCCCACGTGATATGTACTGAGTGTCACGCAACACATCCCAAAAAGGAAAAATGTGGTGACTATTGCATAACGAAGGACACTAACGAACATTGCACGGAAGGACGAGCAAAAWGTAGTGACTGCGACGAAACRTGCAAAAGTCACGCAAKATGCAGTCACACTAAAAAGAYGGAAGTCAAGAGAAGGAAGCGGAAGTCACGCAAGCGACCTGTCAGTCAAGACGTGACAGGATGGAAAGAGACGAAGGATGAAAATAATGAAAAATCRAATGAACTCGGCAAAAAAGGATGGAAATCTGCCGATGATGTACGAGATCCAACAGAMACACTTTCTTCTCAAAMGCAGAAGAAGAAGAGCCGAGAAGAGAAACACAARCGAAAGCAGAAATCAAAACATTCGCACACACACAAAGTCGATAACAAATCGCGCAAAAACGACGATAACACAATTACCATAATCGATAATCAATCGGAGTATCGTCGCGTCAAACGTCATGTTCGYAAAGAGCTCGGCGATTTGCGAATACAGCAAATGGTTAGCCGAAAAATMGACCAACGATTCGTCGACTTTCACTTGGCTTGTATGAAGTCCTTCGCGAGCACAAATCACCAAGGCAACGARCACGAAATTCGCGCCAATTTAATCCAATTGATTGAAAGTCAACAAAAATGTTTGTCAGCGCTGAAAAAGGCAGAGAAACAAAACAAGAAATCSATGTCTCGATATTCAAAGTATCTCAAACTCGAACAAGAAAAGATTAAGTTTTACGGTATTGCYAACGCTGGCAAACCAAAMGTTGAACGAACGAGAAAAATGAGTGACACTGATACTGGGATAAGCGAGATGCATTCCGACAGCTCAGCTGAGCACACATGCGAATGCGAATCCAACTACGTYATAAGTGACGCGGATTTCCCTCAAGATGACGTCGGAAGAACATCATCACTAAGTCATTTTSACRCCATCACAAATGATGACTATCCGGCGAAAGATTTTAACTCCAAAAATGACGTCACTTTGGAAGATGACGGTAAACCGAATATCTCTCAAAAATCTCCGAATTATGTCGTAACAGTAGATGCTGTAGCCATCGATGACGTCACACATGACGTACAGACATATGTGTACGAAAAAGATGACGACACACGAAGTGAAATCATCGTTGCTGAGCCAACAGGTGTCGTTCCACCTGAGACGACTTCTCTTGTTCCTTACCGGTCAGCTGAGTCAATCAATAYGAGCACGCTCAGTGATAACTCGGAGTCATGTTTCCATGACAGCGACGACGTTGAAGAGCTGAAGAGGTTGTTAATGGTGGAGCAACAAAAACAACGAGACAAAAGGAGAACACTTGACCGCCATTAYGAAGAGATAAAACTRATGGACAAGAGGATTCACGAGCACGACAAAATGGCCGACATTTTACACAGACTTAAAGACCTCAATTCRGGTCTTGTTGAGAGCAAGAACACAGAAAACACTGACACAGAACAAGAAAAAATACGCTTAGAAAAATCAATTAAACTAAGCGTAAACTTGTACGAYTACCAAAAAAGTGAGATCGGCAAGAATTCATTGAGCCTGGAGCAAGTTGAATCACAAGTGAGACGGAAAAGATGGCATGTTGAATCAGCCTTGAGGGAACTGGAACGAGCTATCTCCASTTCCTCACGKTCACAACTCGATCGTATTCGATCTGTTGAGAAACTACCGGCATGCCTTGCGGGGCTTTCAATTGGCAGTGACCTAGCATTAGATGGTACATTAGTATGAACTAACGTTCACTATTAATGATATMTATACTTGAAATAAAGTTATATAATTTGAATGTTGGTGCGCGATCGCATACACAGGGACCCCAGTATTAAATTCTTTTATTTTTCTCTTCATTTACTTCTATTCAATGTTTCTCTCTACTGAATAACTTATTCAACTTACTATTTAATCAAATAGTTTAATATTTAACGAGAAAAATTATTCTTTATATACGTTAAGACTCTTGATTTTACTGCATAACAAAATTGAGCACTTTGTGTGGTTTTCGAAATTGGGTTTCCTGTGTCATAAATGGGTTTCCTGTGTCATAAATGGGTTTCCTGTGTTAAATTGTTAGTGTATACAAACGATTAAAATCATGAACATTTTATTCATTTTTCTTATGCATTACAAACTCATACAAAAGCTTATTCTCTACTTATCTACAAAATATGTCATATGTATGATTGCTAAATGGCCTTATACACAATAAAGTCTATATTCAGAATATATATCCATCAATAACTCACCAAATGTACATGTACATCAACATTTCACAGTCAGTCTATCTCAGTACAGAAAGCCTCATAAACATTTGCAGCAAATTCTCCAGTACACTTCACTCTAAACAAATCCTGAATGTAATGGYTGTCAGGRTCRCTCAGCAAGTGATGAATCTGCCCATTCATGATTGGGATAATCTTAGCAAGAGGAAGACTTGCAGCTTGTTGATTGGCYGTTGGATCATCAGTACCTTATTTTAGGACAGAGAGAACACGATGAGCAAATTTAAAATGAATAAACTTTTTCAAAAACGTTGAACATGGATGTTATCTTTGAACTGTCTCTTTCATTGTTTGCTGTGACATTGAAATKTGGTCATGAAGCAAACACAACTACTTAAGCTTGCAGTGATAGACAATTGTAAATATTTTTTTAATATAGGCATGAAAGAGGATACATTGCATTTATCACTACAAGCTCACTGGTAGTACAACTTCTATATAATGTCATTCAAGACAGTGTAGAAAACTATGAAGACTTTTAGTTAAGAGAAAAGAAACATTTTTCTAACTGATGTTTGACAAGGCACTGACCCTTGACTTATAAAATCAACACATTTGCTTCCCATTTTTGTATGATTTTCAAATCACCTTCTACCCATGTTTTAAAACAGTTCAAATTATCCCACAATATTCCCAATACATACCTATCTCTGGTTCAAAGAAAGCACCAACATTAGTCATTAAATGTTTAAATGCGGCATCCAAACAGGACTGCAACACAGCGATACAGTCATCACTYTCCAAYACATCGAGTGTTTCCTCCACAAGGTGCAAAAACCTCCCATTYCCCTCATCACCATACATATTAAGGCCCTCTAAGTCYACAGGAACCATGAACTGACAAAATGGCTTTGAACTGGCGAGCAGGGGGCTTTCTTCATCAGCTCTTTCGGCATGACATGCATGTTGGGTAAACTCAAAGGTTTGACGAATGTGATTGACCAATTGTGTGAGRCTGTGGGCAGTGAATTTTTCCTTGAGTGATATTTCTTGTAGAACAGCTGCGAAGACAGTATACTGGTTCAGATATTATTCAATTGCAATTTTATTGTTTAATATGTGTATGTGCATTTGAAATGTGTTGTCATGGAGTCATCTTTTTAGGAGATTTATTAATTTTTCTACAAGTGCAAAACTATGCATGCAATGATCATAACATACTGGAAGCATTTCAATCCAGAGTCTTTTAGCTCTATCTTACCAAGATGACGCAGTGAACCATACTAGGCACTCTGCTATGCCTTGTGCTTTTTCCAGATCAACGATATTTTTTTTATTATAAGAACTTACCCTCAGTAGCTTGCTCTATCCCTCGAATCATATCCTCCAAGCCTTCACTAAGTAAATACTTCACAAGAGCWAGATATTTTTTCTGCATGTCTTCAGCCACTCTAGGAGTGATTCCATTTTCTCCTTGTCCCTTCCTGGCGTCTATGCTATCCAAATACATGTACCCTCCAATGATATTAAGCTGAACACGCAAAAAAACGAACAATAAACAAGATGAATAAACTGCAGTTAGGGTTCGCGAGAAGCTCAAGACTTTCAACTTTTCCCAGACTTCAACTTTGTTGACATTRGAGTTCTTGTCACGAAGTTTTGCAGTGAGCTCCTCAGAATTAAGCTTTTCAAGTAAGGARTCTTTGAGAGAAGGTATTAAAGAGTATAATGTTATGCTACAAGTTCGTTGATTGCTCTCAAAGTGGTGCTGTTTACGAGCGTGTTCGATATATTCTCGTTCTTGTGCGTCCTTCCATTCTTCAACTYGCCATTGTGCATATTTCGCGGCAGCATAAACGCCAGCGATCACGACTCCTCCGATTACAAATTTTCTTCTGTGTCGATAAAAGAAGTTCTTTATACTTGACCACATCGTCGACGGGTAATTTCCCAGCTAAGACAAGTCGAAATCTTGCAAAAATGAGCAAAAGAAATTACAARAATAAAGTTAGCATTGTGAACTCTGATGAGCACGAGATCTTCTGCGCCCACGTACAATCAGCGGCATAAACATACCCAGGGAGGGGAGGGAGAGTTGATTTTGTGTTGTTTTTTGAAACATATTCGTCTCCTTTGTAGATGGTTTATAAACATTGATTATCAAACCAAAATAAATGTACTGAGCATCAGCTTTTATGATTTATTGTAAATCTAGTGCAAAGGAAGACCTAATACTTTCAGAACTATTTTTTACCTACTAATTTTTAAAAAATATTTGAAAAAAAACTGTGAAATACATATTACCTCGACTGCGACTGCAAATCATAGATTAATATCTGTGTTTTTATCGATATCTTTCATTTTCTAGTAGAGGAAAGACGTCTTTTTATTTTACAGGATGAAGAATAGTCCATAGCTCACTGATAGCTAGATATTTCACACCTGATCCCTTATTCAGAGTCAATTGCATGTTCTCTTTTTTTCTTCGTCTTAAACAACACGTTAATGAAACATCACATTTTATTTGTGATTAATGTCTACGCTGTATTTTCACACTAAAAACGCTTTCAAACACATATCTTGTGGACCCAATTACCGTTTCACGCATTCAAAGTGTTTTAAAAACGCCCGGCAATCCTATGTGGGACTTGCTACCTGTCGATAAGTGACATTTCTCTTCTCTCGCTCTATTAATAGACTGCACAGTTACCAACAAAGGGTTTTTCAGCAGGTAAACCTATCTTTTATGCAACCTTGCTCTTGCCCCCGTGYTATTACTCTTCCTAACCCGTTCTTCACGAACAAGAKCCTATTGAGCCATGGAGGGATATGGAGTGGTAGTTGAGCGCACTGTRGAACCCTCTCATGAAGGTGTYAACGTTGATTATAATGAGCTTTTCGCGCCGAAAAAGGTATGTATAACACTCAATACTTGTTTATAGGTTGTTTGGTGTTAAAGTATAAATATTTGGTGTTGTCGTAGTGTCTTGTGTAAACTATTTTCAGAGTGGCGCGCACTGGACTAGAGAAATTTACACAAATGGAGTGAATGTTTTAAACAATTAGTATCAATTTTTGGTTAATTCCCAATGATTTGTATATGTAAAAACCAAAGATGAAACTGTTAGTGAATGAGATATATATTGGCTAAGCTGGAATATTATCTTAAAARAGAATCTTTATGTCTAATAAATGTTGTTTAAATAATACTGAAAAAATAAATGTTTTTTATACCATTTGCTGCGCTAAATTGCCGAGAAAGTTTCAAACAATTTCAAAGTAGCTGTGCGTAAACACCGGCGAGAAAGTCAAACAAAAATGACAGTCAAGTTATCCTTTCTTTTATTACAATACATATTGTGAAGTATTTTAACTCATTTGTAGAGRTTATTGTAATAGTCTTACTTGGATCTAGCTTTAACATCACTCAAAAGAAGAGAAAAAACTCAATACTTATTTATAGCTACAGGTCTGTGAACTCTGAAACAAACCCTAAAAAAATGATTTAAATTTTTTACAGTGTTTCAGAGAATTGAAAGTGCCTTCTAAGTGGAAAGAAATTCCACTTATTCAAAAATGAAACTCTAACAAGACAAAATAACATTGTTTAAAAGGTGTCAAGTTAAAAAGAGGTGCTTGTTAAGACGTTTTAATGTCAAAACCCTTTCTCCCACCYTTACTCAAACCAGTGGAGTGCTACCAGTTAATGCTAACAAAGGATATGAATATTAACGTCTCATTGTGATTACCGAGCTAAATTTAACAAGGTTTTTGTAACAAGTACCTCGCTTAAATTCCCCTTGTTTTTTTTCAGTGGCTTCCACGTTTTTCTCATACTGAAGAGAGACGTTTTATAATGCAGATAAAATAGAGTATGTTGTGTTGTTGAGGCAGCCACACTAAATCAGTATTCGCGGCGTACTGCGTCGGGAACACTTGTCCTGATTCCTCAAATAAATTCATATTTTGAAAGTTATAGTTAAGTTGGTTCGTAATTACTAAATCACTCACATATAAGACAAGAGTTCTAGCCGTTTTGATTTATTTGATTGGGAAAATTTAGGGRACTCATAACATTTAGCAATAACGTTTCAGGCGGTTTTACTGGATTTCCGCATAAACCCACAAACAATTGTTCACGCCTTAACAAGCTWCTTTTCTTCAGTTTATCTTTGCTCAAGATAGATTTGCCGCTAAACCCGTGAAACATGTCATAGCGTCATGATTATAACCATGAAAAGCAACATCAGTGTAGCATCAGTGATATATTGATCACTAACTCRCGATGACGTGATGATATACTCAGTTAATTAGATTTTCACTTTCCTTTTGAAATCCATCAAATTTGTACACCATAACGTACCCCCTTAATACGTCATTATATCAAGACCACTTCTGAGATAAAAACCTTTTATWATCTATTGTAGAAGCAGCTCTTTTAATGGCAGACAGGTACCTTTTTTTGGACACGCCCACTCTAAACCGTCTATGAAAATAATTCAGTTTCTCTTTTGTTTAAAACTTTACTGAGCCAAGAACCCTCTATATTTACAACCATCAGTTATTGACATCGGTCAGTTTAATGGCTTTTGAGGGATGTCGGGAGAAAACCTTTTTCTAAAAAGTCTCACTTCAATAAGCATCTTTTTATCTGTTGACACCTTTTTGAATATATTTTTTTAACGTTCACACAATTTGATTACTGTGTAATATCGAGATTGTCTTTGAAACGAAAAAAAAATTCTCTTAGAGATATGAATAAAGATTATTTTCAAAAGACGTTGTTAAGTTTTTTTTGTATTTTTTTTTTGTTCATCATGTGGTCTCGTGTTTAGCCGACATTCTATTGTTTTTCTATTGTTACGATTCTGCTAATATTCTAAAATATAGGTAATAAATGGCAAATGCATCTCCAGGACTAGTGAGTGCTGAGTCCTGATGATGCTGTGAAACAGCGAAAGCCGACTTCATATTAAGTAACAATGCGCTAAAGAACTAGGGAACTCTCTATTGTTCTGCGGCATAGCAAGTTCCCCATGTACGAATGTCTTGGTTTTCACACTGATTATGTATCCATCTGTGGGTAACGCATTTTTGAAATAAAATGTGGATAAACTCTATTTT